CAGGTAGTGATGGGAGGGGGCTTGGTTTTTTTTTTGGGGGGGGGGGGCAAAGGTATACCCCCCCCCCCCCAATCGATAGCATGGCTGGGATCTGCTGGTGGGGGAGAGATGGGGCTCTTGGAGTTTTGGGGGAGGAGAGATTTGGGGTGGTTTGGGGGCTGTTGGTGTCAGGGGGGGCAGGTTTGGGGTTTGCTGGGGTCCAGGAAGGCAGATTTAGGGTGTTTTGGGGCTGGGGGGGTAAATCTGGCACATTTTGGGGCCAGGAGGGGCAGATTTGGGGTGTTTTGGGGTCTGGGAGAAGATTTGGGGTCTCAGAGTCGGGGGGGGGGGGATTTGTGGGGTTTTGGGATCCAGGGAGGCAGATTTGGGGTGTTTTGGGGCTGGGGATCAGATTTGGGGGCTCTCAGCCTCTCTTGGAGTCCAGGAGGGTAATTTTGGGGTCTGCCAGGGTCTACAGAGACTGATGTGGGGGCTGTCAGCCTTGGAGGGGGCAGATGTGGAGTAATTTGGGGTCCATCAGGGTGCTGGGATGGGGGGAGGCACAACAGCAGGGTCTGTTGGAGTCTGGGGGGGTCCCGGCTCTGGGGGGTGGATTTGAGCTCTTTTGGGGTCCTGGGGGAGGGTCTGTAGGTTTGGGGGAGGGCAGATTTGGGGTCTATAGGATTGGGGGGGCAGATTTGGGATCCACCAGGCTCTAGACGAGGGGAAAGTTGGGGTCTGCGGGGAGTGGATTATAGGGGCAGAGGGGCAGCCAGAGTCTGGGGAGGGGTTCCTGGGGGAAAGGGGGGGATTAGGTGTTTTGGGGGGTCCTGCTGCCATCGTGGGGGGGCCCCCCCAGGTCCTTCCTGCAGGCGCTGGTGCTGACGGGTGAGACGCAGGAGCGCGAGCGCATCCTCGGCCACTTCTCCCGGCGTTACCATCACTGCAACCCTGGTGCCTTCCCCTCCCCGGGTGAGACCCTACGAGGGAGGGGGGAGCACCCCTAGGGCCCCCCCGCCAACCCCAAACTGTGCCTCAGTTTCCCCACCCATCCCCTCCCCGTGCTTTGGGGCATCCCCAGCTGCACCCACTGGGGTTCACTGTAACGGGTGTCCTCACCTGGGGGGGGGACACCCCCACCCTGACCCCCCCCATGTCCACCCCCCCAGATGCCGTGCACTCCCTGACGTGTGCCATCATGCTGCTGAACACCGACCTCCACGGGCAGGTAAGGAAAGGGGGAGGACCCCAAAAATCCACCCCCTGCATTTTTGGGGTGCTTTGGGGGGGGTGTGTAAAATTATGGGGGGGGGGTCGAGGGGGCACCCATACACCCACCCCACTCCCACAGCGCCTCGGCCGTGCCATGACCAGCGCCGAATTTGTGGCCAACCTGAGCGGGATGATGGACGGGCAGGATTTCCCCAGGGAGCAGCTGAAGGTATTTTGGGGGGGGGGCGGTTTGTGAGTCTGGAAAAGGGGGGGGGGGCACCCCCCTGGACCCTCCCTGAACCCCACTTTCCCCCCCCCTCCCCGCAGGCTCTATACGGCTCCATCCGCAATGAGAAGCTGGCGTGGGCAGAGTGAGTATGGGGTTATGGGGGGGGGGGAGGAATATGAAGTGGGGGGGCACCCCGTGATGCTCAGCACCCCGTAGGGATGAGGATGAAGAGGAGGAGGAAGACACGGCGGGTGGGGGCAGCCTGGCCCCCCCTGGCTGTAAGAAGAGCAACCCTTTCCTGGACCTGCCGGGGGGGACCGGGGCTGTCACCTACCGCCGGGGCTGGCTGGCCAGGAAGGTGCTGGCCGAGGCTGACGGCAAGAAAAGTGAGTGGGGGGGGACTTGGGGGGGGATTCGGGGTGTTTTG